CCAGGCAAAGGCCGGGCCGGGCCCTCAGCCGCCGCCGCTCATCTGCTCCGCGGCCCGGGCGCCGGCGGCCGAGCCCGCCGCTCTCCGCTGCTCCGCGTCGACCGGGGGAGGAGGAGGAGCGGGCGCCGCGCCTTTGCGGGCGAGCTCAGCGCCCTGCGGACAACGGTGCGGACGTTGCGGGCAGCGTCCGCCGCTCCCCGGGCGCTGGGATGTATTTATCCGACCTCAGGCGTCTCCCGGAAGCCGCGAGCTCGGGCGCAAGCCTGCCGAGCCGACCGACCGCGCTGTTCGGCTCCGCAAGCCGACCTCCCTCCTGCCGCGCTCCTCCGCCTCCTCTTCCCCGGCCCCCGGCCCGCCCCCTCTCCCCCCCGTGGAGGTGGAGGTAGCCGCGGCACCTGCTGAGCCCTGCTCCTGGGCGCGAGCGCCCCCTCCAGCTGGGACGCGCCACCGCGGCCGCGGAATCCACCGGAGAGGGGCGGGGGAAACGGGACACTCCGGGCCCGCCTGGCCCTAGGGTCCCCCGCTTGTCCCACCTCCGCGCCGGGCGGGGCGGGGCGGGGAGGAGCAGGCGCGCGAAGCCGCGGGCGTGGGTGGGCTCGGGGTCCCGGAGGAGTGGGCGCGCGCCGCGAGCTTGCGAGCTGGGCTGTGTTCCCGGCCGGGCTCCCGCCTCCGAGCGGTGCCCCCGCACGCCCGGCGTGCGTCGGGTCTCAATGACCTCTACTGGCCTCAAAGGTGCCGGCCGCCCAGCTGCGGGCACCCCACAACCGGTCGCGAAACCAAGGGTCGCCAGCATTAGGGAGAAACCCTCTCGCACTTTTTCGAGGTACAGATACCGTTGATTTTTGTGTCCGCGGAGGACGGTCAAGGAGGCGCATCTGCCACTTTCAGGTCCTTGGTCAGCCGCAGCGTCGGGTCACCCACCACCGGCCGCGGCACCCATTCTCAAATCGCCATTTCTTCCCCACTCCAAAATGAATGCTTTAACAGGCACTATGCTAGACGGATATGTTGTCAACCCAAGTGACATATACGTAAACGTGAATGGTGATGGTATTCGCTACCCCTTCCCCAAGATCTTGAATACTTGTTTCGAACGCCAAGTGCACAGGCGCACACCTCTATATTCGCACACAAGAAGACAAACCTCTCCCTCCTCTTGGTGCTCCAGCGCCAACCTTGCCCAGCCAGCGCTATATATATATATATAAATAACGCCAACCTTGCGGCAAAGAGCTGCATTAGCATATTTCCTTCTGCACCCGGGCACAGATGAGAATGGGGCGACACCTTTCACCCTAGCGTCCCCACAAATTGGAGATATTTAATATTCTGAGTTTATTAATGGAAGTCTTGATAGAGCAATCCATTTCCAGTCTTACTTAGTGAGTGGTGGTGGTGAAAGAAATGCTTTGCTTTCCAAAACGATACAATCTACCTACGTATATGCTTACTACATAAAATACTGGCACATCCGAGAAAATTCTTTCTGAAGGCCACCAGTGGGCTGGGCCTTGGGGTGTGATGGGGGTTGGGGGGGGAGGTTGTGGGCTTTTCTGCATGGCTGAGAAGGGGGAGATTAGATAACCATGGCCCAAAGGGGCCCAAAGGGGCCCAAAGGGGCACAGAAAACAACAAATTTTCAAGAAATGGGTCTCTACACCTGCTTGTATTTAAAGAGCTTTGGGTGTGATAATGCACTTTGTTTATGTAGTAATAGGTTTTTGGGTTTTTTCCCCAACTTCACATTATTTGTTAGCTTGACTTTTCCTTTTTTCCTCTCTCCCCATTAGAAGAGATAATAAATGTAACAAGTGCAAAGTACTTACCTCCATGCCTGGAACAGAAAAGTGCTCAATAAATGTTAGCCACTTATTTTTACCACCGCTACTACTGTTACTGTTATATAAAATCTGCATTTCTATTTCTGAGTTTAAATATAACTTTAAAGATGTTATTTATTTCTTCTTCAGGGGCTGAAGAAGAGGACTGTTCCAGAAGAGGTCTACCTATGTTTGGCTCTGCCTCTTTTCCAAACAGTCACAAGAAACCCTTTGTTGTATTATATATAACTCATTGTAAAACGAGCATCGCCAGTGACTTTGATGGCCATTCCTATCACAATAATAAATAATATTGAACTTTACAGGGTCGGCTTTCATATACACACTGTCATTCAAGTCCTCCCAGGATCCCCAAAGAGGTATATCTTCAAAATGAGGCTGTGAGGGTTAGGTGACTATTGGATCAAAGAGGTGGCCCACAGCAGAGCCCAATTGCTGACTTTGAACCCAGATCTTTTAACTTGACATTCCAGGGTTTCTCCATTTCAAGGTGCAGGGACAGATTACAATACCATAGGGAAGGATTTTAAAAGATATTTGTTAATGTGCATTTTTAGGTGGAAGAAGCCCTGGCGAGGAGTTTCATTGCCAAGCTGTTATTTGTTCTTGTTGCCAAAAGGTGGTAGAAATCCTCAAATGATAGAGTCCCAGAATTGGGAGACACACTGGAAAATGGTGCTCTCTAAAATGCGAGCTAAAAGGAATCAACATAAAATGTTTCGAATTAGCCATCTGCAACACTGACCCAGGCATTGTAATTAAGTTGCTGGTTTCCCTAAATCCCTTTTGGATTCACATGACCCCCAAATCTAGTCAAGAAGATTAAAAGGTAACTAATTTAAAATAAACCGACCTTCAATTCATTAAGACATAGCACAAGTGACCTCATAGTGGGACCTAGGAGTAAAAGGAGTAAAGAGGAAGAATTTGACACTCAGACAGCTTCCAGGGTGAGCATTTAGGTTCACTGGCTAGTATAGGGCAGCCAATCAGTCACCTTCTATTACATTACCCTATTCTCCTTTTCTGCATGTAGTCATCACTAAGTGCTAGTTTTCTTTTACTTATTTATTGACTACCTCCCACTCTAGATAGGTATCTTATACTCAGTTATATTTCTGGTGCCTAAAACAGTGCTTGGTACTTGTAAGACACTCAGTATGTATTTGTTGAATAAGTGAGCTTATCAAGTTATTTTCACTTGACAATATTATCTATTAGGATCCTATAACTCTATTTACTTTGATTCTTAAGTCACCAAGCAACCTGTTCATATTTGTTTAAGCTCTCAAATACAGTGCTCAGATCAGCCAAATTGAGAATTCAAATGAACTTGACAATTATATTTCTTATTGTAAATAATTGTGGTTGATGGATTAGCTCCCAATATAAAGTTATTGTGGGCAGTTCACGGCTTTAAGACAGTTGGCTTATAGGCCAAATGCAGCTCACAGACCACACACAATGTTTCCAGAAAAATAATGGCCAACATTTGAAAATCAGGAGATTAAACATTAAAATTTTTTTAAAAAATACATAGCAGAAGTTTCATGACCTAGTTTTGGAAAGGCTATGCTTCCCTGGAATGCAATAGAGGGGCAGATGTTCTCTGGCTGCCCTTGACCTTACCCGGCACACCTCCATCATGCCCATCATTTGTCTGGCCCCAGAAGGCATCTGAGTTTGTGACCCCAAATTTATGATAGTATCCTGAACTCACTGATCTCCATAAAGAAGCTGAGCCATTTTCTCTTCTTTTGAAAGCATGGTAAAGAATCTACCAGTTTGTAATTTCCTAAAAATTGAGAAGATAAAAAAAAAGGAAGATGCAACCTAATCACCAATACACTTGAACAAATTTATTTCCTTGGCGATAACAGGAGGAAAACAAATTTAGTTCTAAAGTTGGTAGAAATCTAATTTTAAATCCTCCATAATTCTATAAAAGTTAGTTCCAAGGAATTGGTGTCAGGGTTCATTAACTTAAAATTACAAAACTAGTCATAGCACATTGGTTTTACCTGTAGGTTCATATTTTTATTTATACTTGAAATATAGATAGGTATCACATTTTGGAATATTATGTCTTTCTTTTTTCTTCTTACTGCAGTTTGATTTTTTTCTTTCAAATAACTATTTAAAAAGTAGGTTATCTTGATTTTTGGAGGATGGCAGAAAGTGATATGACATTACTTCAGATTCTAATTGTGCATACATGAACATTATATCAGCCTTTGACTTTTGGAATGTTAACTCTGACTTTCTAACAAGGAATTTGACATTTACAAAACCTAGCACAAACAAAAACGAAACAGCTACTTTTGTTCAGTGGCAAAAGCAATAAAAATGTCACATAATCTATCCTAAGGAAAGCCACATGTAATACCTTGAGAAAAACTATTTAAGCATACCGTACAAGTCAAATTCACTCCTCCTGATCAAAAGGCCAAGTGAAAATGAACAACAAAGTGAAGATAAGACTTCTATGCAAAAAGCTCTTCAATTGTAAATGTGATTGATAGGGCCCAATTACTTTTAAAAGCTTGGTCAAAATTTAATTTTGAATTTTTTTCTTGAGTTAAAAAACAATTAGCAAAACAAATTGATCTAGAATCTGATGTTGGCTTTTATTTGCTAAAACTCATAGATGTCAGATTTGGCTTATTGTGCTTAAGAATGTTCTTTGTCAGACACACACAAGAAAAAATACAGAATGCCAGGACTTACAAGTGAACATTATATATTTCATTCCAGCATGGAAACAGCACATTCCCAAATTTGCAATGAGAATCATCCCCAAATTTGCAAATGAACCTCAGGTTTCAGGTATGAATGTGGGGCTTTCCGAAATGGGTAAGTGATCTTCTAAAGGCAATCATTGTCAGGAGGGTTTGTGTGAACAACACTAAGTAACAAAGGTTTAAGGGAAAGAACTTTT